AATCGGCACTGGAGAAAAAGTACGGTGCAGTTTCTGTATATTGTGATATTACAACAGAAACGATGTGACGTGCATCCATCCATACAGTATTCTTCATTTACACCGATTTACAATGCCAAACGCTTTTGCATGTTCCAGGTAAAATGTTGGTCCAGATCAAGTACAACGAACAGCAGAAGTGTGTGAAGCTGGATTGCATTGAAGGGAGGTCTGACTTTATGCAATCTCCCCTAAAAGTTTTTTTTTCCCCACTCAATTAAAATAACTAAGAATTTGATTAAAATCTGATAAATTCTGTGTATTATCCTAGCTCTCATGTTGTTGCCTCATTTCTGTATATGCCTTTATCATATGTTTTATAGAAGGGGATACATTGAAAAAAATCGTAAAATTTTGCTTGCATCATAAAGATATATGTATTCAACTCATTTGTTGTGAAGCAAGAAAGGATGTCAACTTAAAAAAAAATAAAAAAAAAAATTCAGTCATTGAGAGATTTTGCTTGCCACCTGATGCAAAAGTTATATACAAGGATGCAACATGGACAGAAGTCAATGCAGAAATATTCAGCGACCTCATTGGACAAGGCAATGTGGTGCTGACTGTTTTCTCAAATGATGGTGAGTTTTATTGAATGTGAAAGAAGTCTAGTGTTATCAAGCAACTCAGGATAAATATGATAAATTAGCTATTTCTTATTTCTGATTCTTGTGCTGGTCATCACAATATTTGTAATATTTTAATACTTTAATTCTTTAGAATTTTCGGACTCTTTGTCTTCCATATCTGTGAAGTCTGACAATAGCAACGGTTTAAGTGCATCGACTGTAATCTTAGATGAGGTCCCTAACAGGAGACAAAGAAAAGAGGACACATCTGCACTGTCTGCAAAACAGGTTAGAACAAAGCTTTTTACGTGAGTCTCCTTAAGGTTCTGTTCACCCAGAAATGAAAATGATGCAAATGACAGAATTTGTAGTAATTTATGAACCACCAAGGTCATTTTTTAATTTTATTATTATATTCTTTTTTAATTTTTAGTTGGTTGAAGACGTTCTAAAATTGAAGTCTGGTGGTGAAGCAGTACTACAGGAGTATCAAGAAACAGAAACCCTTACAGATGCCACAAGACGACAAATGATTAACACACTGGTGGCTCACATGATTGATACACATGGGCATTTTTTTTTTAAACAAATAACTGCATGACCATTGTGTAAATTGAGACCAATTTGATATCTTCCCTTAGGCAACTCCCTACTAAAGCTATCAGAGAACAGTATGCTCTTGGCATAGTGATGCTGTTCCCTACCCTCAGAGATCCATATTCCAAGAAAGGCTACGTAAGTCACTGTCTGCATGACCCTTTCATGTTATACTTGCAATGTTATATCTGTGACATAGAAATTTGATTCTTTTAAGGAACACTTTTATGATGCTGCAAGCAACACAGGATACATTGCTTGGCATATGAAAACAGTCCACAGGAAGATTCGACAAGGATCTTTGCCACTAGACAGCCCTCGTGATGTTTCTCCAGGAGACCCAAAATGCCAAAGGGCTACTAATTTTGAAGGGCAACTTCATGGGGATGCTTGCAGAGAGACCATGTCCTTGCTCAACCATACCACAGACAAGTCCCTAATATTCCAAAAGATGAGAGAGACGTTTCAGCATCGCCAGAAGCTTGTTAAAGATCCAGGCTCTAGTGCTGATATCCTCTCCACCTTCCCAAGATTCCTAGATACAAAAGGGCTGGTAAGTTTGGAATAACATGTTTTCAAAGGCATGCATGCAATATTTGAGAATATTGTTTATAGTTTAATATCTTCTTAAAGGTGGATCAAGACTTCACTCTCCTGTTTGACGCTGAGACATCCTCCAGGCTGCTTCAGAAGTGGGACACGTTTTTCAGGCCAAATGTCATTAAAGAGGCCAAGCAACTTACTTCAACAGCAGAGCTGAGTCAATTGCTGCTCTCAGCAGACTGTCCTGAAGGAAGTGACCTTCATGAAACAAGTATGTTGTATTTGATTCACTTGTTTTTACGCATTTGCTATATTTGCAGTTACAGTTACTATATGTTTTGTTTTGATGACAAAAATATTAAAATGAGCAAACTTCACAACCTATGAGATTGGATGTTTTCCGGATTAATACAAAATAATTAAATAAATTACACCACATAAAAAAAGAGTATTTAAATAGACTACATAAACACATCAGGTGAATGTTTAAAATGCTCTCTATTCTTAAACTTAAAATATTTCATTTGAAGTTTTACATTAATTAATTCATGTGAATTTCGTCTCCAGTCTACGACCAGGAAATGGCATCCCTTCTTTTACTGATACATCTCCTTCCACCATCACCAGGAGGACTGAAGTCTCCAAAAATCAGTGCATGTGATGCGGCTGAAAGACTTGTAATCTTTCATAATCTTTCTGACATTTTAATATTGTGTTTTGGGTTGCTCAAACATGGAGATTAAAATCAAGTCTTCATATGCATTCACATATTTCACTAGCCATTGAGTTGTTTGAACAATCACTTTAATAATGTTGTTTTCTCTGTGACTGGACATTATGTTTGTGTCTAATATTCAATGTTCATTTCAACTTTAGTCATGCTGCAGTTTTGGAGGAGCACCTCAACAACAACCAGCGTCAGCATCTGTACCTCCTTGCTGTTGGACGCCAGAAAAGCAAGATTGACAGCTTCTACATCGCCTTGGATAAACATCTCATCCCATGCCAGGCAAACCGCTCCCTTGGAGTATTTGATGAACTTTTCAAGGCACATTTTGTGTTCAATTTGTACTATGATAGTGCACTTGTGAACTTTTACACATTCCTGCAGACAACCAGACTGCTAGTAACCTTAACTTAAAAGTCGGGCAGTATGATGTTGACAGAATGCTGATCTGTTTTATTTGTTTTATTTAGCACCCAGACGGTCAACAATTGATTTCACATTTAAGAGGTGAACATGGTTACTATCCTGGATCTAAGTTCAAATTAATTTGTTCTCAGCAAGGTTGTAGGCATCAGTTCCAAACATGCAAATTTTCGTAAGCACCTTAATAGTGTTCATAGCAATGTTCAGCTGGTTGCTCCAACTTCAACTGTTGGATGTTCCTCAAGTGAGCCAGTTGCAAGCTCATCTCAAGTAGATGCTTTGGAGGACCTTATGAATCCCCAGCATCTATCTCCTTGTTCCAGTGCTTCATCTGATAACAATGATTCAGGGCTTACTAAAAATTCAACTAAAGAATTGTGTGAATCCATCGTGGCCAAAAAACAAGCAAGTGGGATTCCAAACAGTTTGGTGTCCTCAATTGTGGGAGATTTAGAGGAGCTAACAGATGAGCTTCACTCGCAAGCAAAGCATAACATACTTTCTGCTTTGCCTACAAATGACCCCTACAAAACTGTAATAAATGAATCTTTTGAAAAATTAGAAAACCCATTCACAAATCTGAATACAGAATGGAAATGGAATAAATACTTTAAAGAAAAATGGGGAGTTGTAGAGCCCGTTGAGATAACACTAGGTGTGCGGTATGACAACAAATTGAATAAGAAATCTGGTACTTATGACCAAGTACCAGTGAATGATACTTTTATATATGTGCCAATTTTAGAAACATTGAAATGCATGTGCAGAAATCCAGACATTTGTGATCTCCTAAGGAAAGATTGTAGATCAGAGCCTGACACTTTTACAAATTTTAGCGATGGAAGTTGTTTTAAATCCCACCCTTTATTTACAACAAAGAGACATGCATTACAAATTCAAATATACTATGATGATTTTGAAACAGCTAACCCCCTTGGCTCCAAACGTAGTATCCACAAAATTGGCTGTCTTTATTTTATTGTAAGAAACTTGCCCCCAAAATTTAACTCGGTTCTGATGAACATTTATCTGTTAGCACTTTTTCACACACAAGATGTAAGCAAGTACGGTTTTGATGTTATACTGGCACCATTGATAAATGATATAAAGATACTTGAAAGCCAAGGATTAAGTCTTCCATTCTCAGATGAGCAGATATATGGCACCATCGCACAAATCACTGGTGATAATCTAGGGATGCATTAAATTCTTGGTTTTAATGAGTCATTTAGTAGCCATCATTTCTGTCACCTTTGTTTAATTGAAAAGAATGATTATCAAACAGTATACAGTGAGGATGATCCTAAGGTGGTCCTTCGTGGACAAGAAATCTTTGAAATGCATTGCAAGTCTCTCCAGGAAAACCCACAATTAAGGTCACTGTATGGTTTGAAAAAAAAAAATCCATAATTAATACACTGAAGTACTTTCATGTTAGCAATAACTACTCATTCGATATAATGCATGACCTTCTTGAGGGCGTGGCTCAATATGAAATCAAATTGCTTTTTGGACATCTCACACAACTTTATATCTGAAGAGGATTTACTTTCAAGGATTTATTCTTTTGATTATGGATTTTTAGAATGTAAAAATCATCCCACAAAGGTTATTTTGTATAGTGCTGGTAATAGCATTGGTTTAAATTCCATTCAGACATTATGTCTTGTGAAAAATCTCCCACTTTTGTTAGGAGACATTGTTCCTCCAGGACACAAACACTGGAGTTTGTTGCTTTTGTTACTTCAAATAATGAACATTGTGTTTTCACCTTGTCTCACTTCAGGCTTGACAGTGTATTTGAAGCACTTGATTGCTGACCACCACAAATTATTTAAATACTTGTATCCACATAAAAATCTGATTCCCAAACATCATTACATGATACATTACCCCTCTTCTATAAGGAAAATTGGCCCCTTATTATATATGTGGTCAATGAGGTTCGAAGCCAAACATAAGATGTTCAAAGATTTTTTTTGTTTAATTTCAAAAACATAAAACCATTAGCTAAAAAGCATCAGATGGGCCATTGCTTACCATTGGGAAACCTTCACCCTCAAACATAATGAGTTTGGGCCAATTAAATCATTTTCCATAGGGGATGAGAATGTGGTCAGCAATCAAATGCTTGAAATGTTCCTATCACAAGATGTTTTCTCAATTCTAACCACCTAAAACATGCAACTCTGAACAGTGTTGTTTTTCTGTATCCATTTTAGTGTTATTTTAACACTTTTTTTTTTAGAGTCAAATTAGGAACTCTGGCATAGTGTTAAATATTTAACACTATTTTGAACTATATTTAACACTATTTCACTATTTTGAAAAAGTGAAAAAAGTGAAAGTGACGTGACATATGGCCAAGTATGGTTACCCATACTCGGAATATGTAACTCCGGAGAGTGTGGAGCTATATAAACTCTGAAAAAGTCTGTGAGAGTTAATTTAACACTGGAATTTTTGCTGTGTATGTTAAGAGACGTAACATTTCCGTCACACGCTTGAGGCATTCGGCCAATCACAACGCACTGGATAGCTGACCAATCACAGCACACCTTGCTTTTCAGACCGATGAGCTTTGTAAAAATCGACGCGTTTCAGAAAGGCGGGGCATAGAGAAGCAACAATAATGTACAGTATGTGGAAAATAATGTGTTTTTGAACCTTAAACCGCATAAACACATTTCATTACACCAAATACACAAAATAATGTTATTTTTAGCAACGTCATATGATCCCTTTAAGGTCAAAATGTGTACAGGTTGGCAGGTCTGTATCTAACATCTGCTTTTTGAATAAAAAATAAATAAATCTCGAAACCAGGTATCCCTAAGCTTGGCTAATAGAATAAGTACTTGATTTTAAGTGTTTTATGTAATGTTTGCGTTTTTGGGAAAAAAGGAAAACTTTTTTTCTTGACATGAATGACCCATATACTTTTATAATTCTACTGTACAGTCAATAGTCTCGTGTATTGTCTGTGGTTATATGTTTGTTTTCTAACACCAGTCAGGAGCAGTGCTACTCATTTCATTGCAGAAAAATACAATGACAATAAAGGCTTTCAGTTCAATTAAATTAAATTAAATTAAATTCAATGGCTTTATTGAGAAATTTAAAACAGAAAGCCCCAAAAGCAAATATTTTCCTAATGCAAATACAATTATAGCAGACAATAAAAGTTGTTGATAAAACATAAAAAGTAAAGATAATGTAAGGGAAACAGGTCAATTTAGCTCAAAGGGAATCATTTAAGATTTTAAAGGGAATTTGGACAGAATCACTGTTTTACGGCTGATCACTGAGACGGCCAGCGATTCATTGAACGAGCCGTATAACATCAACTCTGCAATGGATATTAATATCCAAAGTATAGTGAAACACTATTTATTAGCACAGTAACAAGATCGGCAGTTTAAGACATTAACTTGTAAGCACAAAACACAAGATACTTCTCTTTTCAATATAAATAAGGCTTTATTGGATAAATCTAAGACATATAAACTAATCTAACACATAAACACACGCATTCACACAAGTTGCAGGAAGAGAGAAAGTGAGGAAAGAATGAGTTTAAGAGAATGAAAATGTGAAATCCCAAGTTTACAGCAATATGTGCAATTAAGAAAAACCTGAACAACCATCAATCACTTAATTAACCCTCGCATTGAGTTCCTCAATGAGGTTAAACTTTATATTAAATGCACCAGTTCAGCTAGAATCTGGAGGTACTTGCGTTGCATTGTCTGTATCCGGACGGTTCCCTTTTGTTGTCGTCCTTGCAGAAAAGGGG